ACGGGGCCGTAGGAGCGCGACAGGGCCGTAGGAGCGCGACGGGGCCGTAGGGGCATGACGGGCTACCTAGGGGCTCGACGGGGCCGGCTAGGGGCCGAGGGGCCGTAGGGGCGCGACGGGGCCTGTAGGGGCGCTACGGGGCTTGTATGGGCGCGACGAGGCGTAGGGCGCGACGGGGCCTGCTAGGAGCGCAACGGGGCCGTAGGGGCGCAGAGGGGCCCGTAAGGGCGCGACGGAGCCGTAGGGGCACGCGGGGCCAGCTAGGGCGCGAGGGTCCGGTAGGTGGCGGCATGGGGTGGAAGCGGATGGGTGGACTACCTTTTCGTGATACCATGTTAAGACTAGAAAGAATAAATAGAAGAATGGAGAACAGGGGAGATATAGCGTTTGGGTTGTATTGTACCCACTAAGAACATACCCTATCTAGCCTCTAACTTCTACATAACAATATATGTATAAGCTGACAGCCCGCCCCTCCAAAGACATATTCACTATTGGGGTCGTTTCTGTTGTGGTAAAATTGTACTTAAGCATTTCTGTAAGTAATCTCGATAGATATTGTCGAGTTACACTGTAGTTAGCATCCATAGAATGACGTCAGCAAATAACGCTCGTCTGGATGGTTACGTCAGCAAGCCGTTTCAGTCACGCGAACAGTCGCGCTCTTTTCAGTAGCAGTTAGAGCGCATAGAGCAAATAGCTCGAACTGTACATCACCGAATAGGGTACTTCTAGCAGATATAAAAGTAGCCTGTACAAACTTCAAATATTAACTTGTTCTTCAGAATATTCTGGTCAACACTTAACTAGTTCTAAGACTTCTGCTGTCTTACTAGTCTACCATTCCAGCAAAGATCCTTGGTAAGTCTTGAAGTATCGCAAGGCTGTAACACTGACTCTGGAGTTACAACTTGTTAATACTGGCTGTTACTGGAGGTACTTCCAGTATTACTTTCTGCTTCAAGTACTTGTGTCTGCAGATTCTATACTTAGTCTCCTGCACCACCTTTCAAATTCTTTCAGTTTCTACAGGAATATATAGAGAGTAGGAAATAGAGCAATTGTAGAATACAGTTGAAGGAACGGTTATCGAGTCGCACAGCGACTCGATCGTCGTCGGTTCGACCATCCTTGCAGTCGTAACGGTCAGTCGTCCAACCTCCTCGTGTAACCTTCGTTGACTCGCGTACTCGATAAGACTTTCCTCGAGTGTAGTGTTAGACTTCAGAAATGCTTAAGTCCTCGGGGTATTTCCAACACTCCCCTTCGTTTCTGGAGTGCTGACGTGTCCGAACTCGGTGACGTTTATCTGCCCGGTCAGCAGCATGCAGTAATCAAGCTTTGCCTTTGCCAGTTTCTTCGTCAGGTAGTCTGCGGCCATAGGGAGTTACGACTGCGACCGGCGTTAGTCCGAACATTTTTGCGACAGCGCCTGAGTACTTTCCAACGTGTAGGTAGAGCGCTGAGTCACCTTCCACGATGTTTAGACCCAGGTATTGGCTCACGGTGTCTGACACCGTGAGTGTTAAATCCCTCCTCAGCTCCCCTTCGAACCAGGTGGTGACGTCGGCAATGGAGCCGACATAGAGTAGATCATCGACGTAGATGATGAGTAGGACAAAATCCCCCTCTTCTGTAGTCGGTACATGCCTTGATCGTGCGGCAGCTGCAGAAAACCGATCCTGACAAGGCGGTCGTGGAGGTGCTGCTGCCAGAGCCGCGGGGCTTGTTTAATTCCGTAGAGGGATTTCATCAGCTGGCACGCCTTGGTGGGATCGTCGATGAATCCGTGGGGCTGTTCAACGAAGATTTCGGCGTCCACAGGTGCATACAAGAAGGCGTTGGCGACATCGATCTGGCGCAGTGGTATCTTTTCCGTGGCCGTGACGGCGAGCAAAATGCGCAGGGAAGTGTGTCGGGAAACCGGGGCGAATGTCTCCGTGTAGTCGGTTCCATATCGCTGGTCGAATCCTCGTACGACCCATTTCCCATTGGTCAATGGAGCTGTCCGAATTGGTCTTGAAGCGGTACACCCATTTCCCCGAGAGCACATTTTTCCCGTTGGTTTTTGTCGCAGATACCAGCTTCCACGTATTTCGGTCTTGCAGGGCCTTCAGTTCCTTTTCCATTGCTTGTGTTCCCCCCCCAGAGCCTGCGACAGAGTCGATGGCTCGCGTGGTGACGGCGGTGGCGGGCTCTGGACGGCGACCCATAATCCAAGTATCTGCAGGCCCGTGGGTGTGTGTCGAGGGGAATTGGTATTCTCGGGATAAGCTGCTTCGTCACCGTCTTCGAGATCAGGTAAGAAATTTGGTCCGATGAGTTCTGAGACATTTGTATCGACCTGTTGAGGTGTGACGTAACCCTGGTCAGCGAAGTGGTAATAGGTGTCGAGATTGTTACTATCGAGGGGATTGTCGTCGTCGAGTGGAACGGGCACGGAGCAGTAAGGGAGTGGTCCGGCAGCTTCCGAGGCTCCAGGTACGTTTTCTTCTGCTGCGTCAGCTTCGGCAGCATGGTCGGCGAAGAACCGATGGCCGTCGAAGCCGTCGGTGGGGTCGTCTGTGGTGGCGATGTTGTCCAGGTAATGTTGCAACATCAGTCGCTCGTAGAAAATCATATCACGTGAGGCCACGGTGGTTTTGTCCTGAATGTCGAGAACTTTCCATGCTTGGAAATATTTTGCGATGCCGGTGTGTAGTCCCCATTGTGCTCGTTTAGAGAATCGACCTGCTCGGGCTATGTGGGGTCTATCCTGTACCATGCAGCCAAAGAATCGAAGTAATTTTGTGCTGCCCTGTTTTCCTGTCCACAGCAGGTGCGGTGATGCGCTGTTGGGAAGTGATGACGAGGACAGCAAATTGTGCAGGTGGACTGCATGCATCATCGCATCAGGCCAAAGTGTGTTGGGCAATCTCATCCCCAGGAGCAGCTTCCGCATCGTTGTCTGCAAAGTTCGGTTCATCCTCTCTGCGACCCCCTGCTGCTGGTGAGCGCAGGGCAGAGACACGAGGCGTCTGATGCCTCTTTTTGCCAAGTAGTTCATGAATCGTTGTGACTGGTACTCCAGTGCTCCGTCTGACTGGAAGTTCTTGAGTTGCGAGCCCGATTCTCGTTCAGCGATAGGCAGGCATGCCGTGAAGGCTTCAAACGCTTGATCGCGTGTCTTGAGGTTGTAGTGCCAGACGTATCGTGTTGCTGCGTCGATGAACGTTATAACATAGTTGTACTCTGCTTCTCTGTCGTCTCGAGGCATATTTAAGATGTCGTTGTAGACCTTTTTCATCGGTGCGTATGCAGGTGCGCTTGGATTGTGGTGCGACGAAAAAGGTTGGTGGGAAAGATCGGCTTCGGGGCACGTGAAGCATCGTGCGCAGGGTCGTCGAAGTTCCTGGCCGCTCGTTGTGAGAAGAGCGTTCTTTTCTAACACTCCGGCTTGTATGATTTGTAGCACGGTGTTGTTTGCAGGATGCCCGAGGCGTTGATGCCAGATGTCGTCGAATGTGCGATGGCCGGGTGAGCGCTGGTACATGTCAGCGTTGGAGAAGAATGCGACGACCGTTGCAGGACTGCGACAGATTCCTCGGGTGATGGGCATGAGTTGATCTGCTTCGGATGGCGGTCCTCGGATTGTTGGTGATGGCGTACGGCTGGGTCCTGCTGCTGCTACTACAGGTGATGTTATGTGAGGGACGCTTGGTGGTACTTGCCGTTCTTGTCGGATGACTGCTAATGCTCATGTTCTTTCTGCTGCAGGGATGGTGTTGGAGTATCAGAAGCCGACTGGATTAAAGTCGGGGTCAAGATCCGGTGGGTGCGTCCAGGTGGCAAACGGCACGATGCCATCGCTGTCGGCAGTACCGCGGTCGGGGACGAAATCCAGCACGAAGACGCCCGACTTGAGGAGAGCGCAGCCGATGAAAAGGCCGCCCTTCCCATGGTAAAGGCGAAACTCGTTGTCGTCCGAGTTGTTGTGTGATGTGATCATATGCTATCACATTCTGTCTGCCTCCCATCCCTTGTTTCAATTCGCATGTATGGTTTGACTGTGTGTGAAAGAATTTGTGTGGTGTGTGTTCTGGAGTTTGGGAATGTGTTTTGTTTTATTTTTCTTGAGTAGGTATTTTGTGATAGATCTTGAGAAGATCTTTCCGACGCAACAAGAATCGCTTCAATCGGAGCAAGAACGCGAAAGCTATGAAGATTCGAAGTTCATGAGCTTGCGTTACAATTGCGGCGGTTACAAAGTGAAGTTGTGGGGTGACTCTATATTGAGTTGGGACCTTTGGGGTTGGGGAAATTTTTCACTCTACTGTAACAGCTGCAAATTGGTTGGGAACAACCAAGCTAGGTTGGCAAGGGTGGCCAACTTGGTTGGATTGGTTGGGAAGGGACAAATGTCAAAGTTGGGGTTCCTATAGGGAGGAAATCTTTGTGCTTATGGGGTTTCCTTGGTTGGGGACTCTCTTGAGACCTTCCCTCTCATCCCTCTCTTCCATCCCAACCTTTCTCTTGCTCCTCTAATTCCTTGTGAGATTCTTGAACTTCAATTGAACTTTTTGAGATTGAGTTAAGTTCTCCTCCTACAGCTTACCCCCCAGTGCGTCGAAAGACATAGCGTTGCGAATACTTCATCAATCAACGTGATTCAAATTGAGAACGGTAGCTAAGATTATAAGCTACAACATAGCCAAGTTTCGCGACATTCCAACGGCTAGGTTTTCGTTGACGTCGTTTCTTGTGAAGACAACTTTTCTGTCCAGAATTTCGGATTTATATTTTGAGTAATTCTAGCTCCTAAACACACCTAGACTCCGTCCTTAATCCTAACAAGTGGTATCAGAGCCATATTAAGGACATTGAGAGGAGTCTACAGAATTGTGAAGACCCTTCTAGACCCACCTTGGCCTGTGGGTGTGCCTAAGTGGTGTTCTAAAGGTTGGATGTGTCTTCCGCTAAGGGGAAACTCTGCCGAAATTTCGTGGACGCCGACACTTGTGAAAATATCAAGGGAGCTGTGTGTGGACAGCAAAGGGGAGCTGAAATTTGTCATTTCTCAAGGAGAAGATGAATGAGAGAGGAGGAGATGCTAATGGAAGAGGAGCTGTACCTGAGAAGACAAGTGAGCCGCCACCATCAAAAGTTGAAGCTTTGGATGGCTCCAATTATGAGGAATGGAGCGGGCGCATGAGGAGTGCCTTCAAACGCTACAAGCTACTGAAGATTGCTGTTGGGAAGGAGAAGATACCGGAAGAAGGCGAATCACGTGAACGGTGGATTGAGAAAAGCGCGGTGCTTTTCGATCTCATCCTTCAATCGGTCAACAAGGAGATGTTCGAACACATCAAGGATCTTGTGGAAGCGGATGATTCGGGTCCAAGGGCGTGGAAATTACTACGCGATGTGATTCAGCCCAACACTCTCCCGATGGTGATCGTGCTCGAGAAGGAACTTGCTGCCATCTCCATGCGACCAGGGGACGATGTGAAGCCGGTCCTTGACAAGATTAAGGACACCTATGCAAGGATGGCAGCAGCGGGCAGCAGTGTATCTCAGCTGCAGCAGTGCACCAAGATCATCTCGGTGTTGGACAAATCTTGGGACAACCTCATCCCCACCCTCAACTCTCAGCAAGATCAATGGACACCTGAGTGGCTAAGGCAGCAGATTCTGCAGGAGGACTTCCGCAGACGCCATGTGGGAGGTGGTGCCTCCACTAAGACTGCTGAGGGGTATGGAGCTGCAGGGCGCGGCAGAGGAAGAGGAGGTTGGAGAGGCCAAGGCCGTGGGAGGAGCTTTGGCAGAGGTAGAGGCCGAGGTGACTATAATGAGGGGCATGGGAGCTCCAGTGGCAAGGGGAGTACCAGAATGGAGGGCACCTGCTGGTACTGCAAGAAGGTCGGGCATCCTTGGTTCAAGTGCTTTAGCAGGCCGGAAGGATGGGCACCTCCAGGCATGAAGCCGCCCAGTGGTGAACGCGCACAAGGTGGCGCTGTGCAAGGCTCAGGTGCACAAGGTGGAGCTGCACAAGGTAATACCTATCTTGGGATGTTTCTCATGGTTGAGGATGTGCATGGGCATGAGGGTGATGTGGGATCTGTGGGAAAGGTTGTGATGCACCCTCTCACGCACTGGGTGATTGATTCAGGTTTTACCAGTCACATGACCCCACGGGCAGATTTGCTTGATGAGGTAAAACCCCTTGGATAGATCAAGTATGTGGCAGCAGCGTCAGGTGCTTTGCTCCCTGTGATTGGTGTTGGAAATGCCAAGGTTAAGGGAGCTAACGGGGAGCTTGTGGGGCTTGGAAATGTTCTGCTGGTTGAAGGTTTGTCTGCTAACCTTCTCTCTGTGCGACGACTGCAGAAGAGCAAGGCCGAAGTGACCTTTGGACCAACCAGCTGCCGTGCTAAGCTTGGGAAGAAGGTGCTGTGGAGTCTGGAAGAGGAGAACAGCTGCATCAAGGACCTGTGGCAGCTGCCCATCATCCCTTGGAATGGGAAGACTCCAACAGCAGCAACGGCAGCAGCGGCAAAGGCAACAGCTGGAGGAGATGCAACTGCACCAACTGATGGGGTCCTGGAAGCAGTCAAGAAAGTGTAGCAGCAGCAGATACATGGTGAGGTGCTTGCTGGTGTGGATGCGAGTGCGGCATGGGCTAAGGCTTCATTAAGGAGTGGAGAGGCCGATTGGGAGACATGGCATGAGAGGCTGTGTCATGTGAACTTCCCTATGCTGCAGAAGTTGGTGAAGGATGGGAGCCTGAAGGGCTTGGAGGTGAAAGGGGGAATGAAGGAGATTGGGAGCTGCCCTACATGCTTGGAGACCAAGTTCTCCAAGTTCCCCTTCAACAGCACTACAGGACCAGCCAAGACCCCACTTGCACTTGTGCACATAGATGTGGTGGGGCCCACAAGAGCCCCTTCCCTCTCAGGCAGCCGCTATTTCTTGACAATTGTGGATGACCACACTCGGGCAGTGTGGGTTTACCTTTTAAAGAGCAAGGGGGAGGTGGCAGCGGCTGTCCTTAAGGAGTGGATGCCTAGAGCTCAGAGGGAATGCGGACACAAGGTGAAGGTGATCCGCAGTGATAATGGTGGGGAGTTCATTGGATCTGATTTTGAGGGGGAGTTGAAGAGGAAGGGGATCCAACATCAACTGACAGTGCCCTACAACCCGCAGCAGAATGGCATGGCTGAGAGATTCAACAGGACCCTGCAGGAGGGGGCACGCACTCTCCTTGGGCGTGCAGGGCTGCCTGATCCGTTTTGGGTGTCTGCACTGAGGCAGGTCGCACTTGTGAAGAACATGGTGCTGGCTACAGTTGGGGATAAGGAGTGGATCCCATATGTCAAGTGCTATGGGAGTGCTCCAGCTGTGAATATGCTGAGGGCATTTGGGTGCATGGTGGTGTTTCATGTGTCCAAGGAGAAAAGGGGGAAGTTGGAGGCTTTTGGAAGATGGGGTGTGCACTTGGGGATTGCAAAGGATCACAAGGGGTGGCTGCTATGGGACTTGACCACCCAGAAGCTGACAGTGTCAAGGGATGTGAAGTTCCTTGAATCCCTGTACTACAAGGAATGGAAGCAGCAGCAATAGAAGCTTCCATCTATACCGCTCATTGTGGAGGCAGATGAGGTGCAGCGGCCTTCAAGACAGGTGGAGGTTGCAGTGTCTGAGGAGGAGATGTCTGGGGTGAATGAGGAAGGGGGAGCAGCTGAAGTGGAGCAGCAGCAACAGCAGCAGCAGCAGCATGAGTCTCCACCTCGTGTTCCACACCCGCCTGAGAGACCTAGGAGGGATGTGCGCCCTCCGGTGAGGCTGACCTATGGGGGAAGAGGCAAGCCGAATGTTGTGCAGGCTGGGAGTATGGTTGAGCAGATTGAGGAAGATGAGATTGCTCACTGCTACTGGGCACCAATCCCCGAGCCCAAGACTCAAGAGGAGGCCTTGAATGGACCAAATGGGGAGAAGTGGAAGGCGAGTGAGGATGAGGAGTTCAGGTCCCTGATTGAGAACGAGACATGGGACACGTGTGACTTGCCTCCTGGGAAGAAGGCAATCACTTCCAAGATGATCTACAGGCACAAGTATGGACCTGAAGGGGAGCTGACCCGCTACAAGTCTAGGCTTGTGGCACGGGGGTTTCAGCAGACAAAGGGGAAGGACTATGATGAGGTGTTTGCTCCTGTGGGGAAAGGAACAACACTGCGGGTGCTGTTGGCGATAGCTGCACTCCTGGGATGGAAGATACGGCAGATGGACATTGTGACTGCCTTTCTGAATGGGATCATTCTGGAGGAGGTGTACATGAAGCAGCCAGAGGGGCTGGATGATGGGAGCGGCAGGGTCTGCAGGCTGAAGAAGGCCATCTATGGCCTTAAGCAGGCGCCTCGTGCACGGTATCACAAGTTGGAGGAGGCGCTGCTGGCTGGGGGTTTCAAGAAGAGTGAGTGTGACCCCAGCCTGTTCCTGCTACAGGAGAAGGATGAAATCCTCATGCTCTTGGTGTACGTGGATGATATCCTTCTCTTTTCTGCATCAACTGCTTTGCTGGACAGTGCAGAGCAGATGCTGGAGATGCAGTTCAAGTGTTCCAAGATGGGTGAGGTGAAGTACTACCTGGGGATGCATGTGGAGAGAGATGTGGAAAAGGGTGTGCTGAGGTTGCACCAGAGGAAGTACTGTGAGGGGCTGGCTGAGAAGTATGGGCTGCAAAATGGGGGAAAGCCAGCAACACCACTACCTTCGGGGTTTACTGTAGAGCCATGTGCTGATGAGGAGGTAGTGGGTGAGAGTGACAGGAAGCTGTTTCATTCGATGGTTGGGTCGCTGAATTATGCTGCAAATCATACACGGCCTGACATTACATTTGCTATATCACGGTTGGCTAGTGTGGTCTCACGCCCTAGTCATGAGCAGCTGGAAGCGGCCAAGAGGTTGGTCCGCTATGTGAGCGCTACGGCATCAGTGGGATTGGAGTACAGTGGAGTGAGGCAGCGGTTGCAGAGAGGTGTTGCAGATGTGAAGAGTGGTGAGATGCTCTTGAGTTGCTATACTGACGCTAGCTTCAACTCAGTGAAAGCGGATGGCACCAGCATTGGGGGTTATGTGTGCTTGCTAGGAGGTGCTGCTGTGAGCTGGCGCAACAAGAAGCAGAATGAGGTGGGATTGTCCTCATGTGAGACTGAGTACATGGCCTTACACCATGGGGTCAAAGAAGTGGTATGGCTGAGGCGTTTGTTGGAGGAGTTGGGAGTTGGTCAGGAGGAGCCGACAGTTGTGTTTTGTGACAATGAATCTGCTGTGAAGCTCGCCAAGAATGCTTGTCTGCATGGGCTGACAAAACACATAAGGCCTAAGTGGCATTGGGTGAGGAGACTCCTTGATAAGGAGGTGCGGCTGGAGATAGTGAAGACCCATTAGCAAGCAGCAGATATTTTCACTAAGCGTCTGGCGGAGGCGGATCATTGGAAGGGCATGAAGCTTGCTGGGATGAGTGTGCATTGAGTATGCATGCTTGAGATGTTGGTCTGGTGCATGATGGTTGGCAGCCAGAGGGGGAGATTGTTGTGTGATGTCATCATATGCTATCACATTCTATCTGCCTCCCATCCCTTGTTTCAATTCGCATGTATGGTTTGACTGTGTGTGAAAGAATTTGTGTGGTGTGTGTTCTGGAGTTTGGGAATGTGTTTTGTTTTATTTTTCTTGAGCAGGTATTTTGTGATAGATCTTGAGAAGATCTTTCCGACGCAACAAGAATCGCTTCAATCGGAGCAAGAACGCGAAAGCTATGAAGATTCGAAGTTCATGAGCTTGCGTTACAATTGCGGCGGTTACAAAGTGAAGTTGTGGGGTGACTCTATATGGAGTTGGGACCTTTGGGGTTGGGAAAATTTGTCACTCTACTGTGACAGCTGCAAATTGGTTGGGAACAACCAAGCTAGGTTGGCAAGGGTGGCCAACTTGGTTGGATTGGTTGGTGTGAGAGTACGACCCCGTTACACCACTTGGCCTTTCCTTATTTCCTTCCTATTTCATTTCTCTTTTTATCTCATCTCATTTGGTTTCCTATTCTCCATTTTCCATTAACCTTTGCTTTATCCTGCTATTATACTTATATCACCGACCAGGTTTGGGATGTACTGGTGCGCTATATCTAGCGTAATCCTGCCGTAATCCCTTAAAGCCAATAGCCTCGCGTGGCTATACGCAAGGTGATTCTATCTTCTAGAAGGGTCTATTCCCTTAGGATAAGATAAACCTGCTTACCTGATGTACTCTGGAAGTATAAAAGCGCCTTGTACTTATCGAGAGTGCAATCTTTCCTCGACACATTCGATCCTGTGACACTTGGTAATCAGAGCTTTTCTCACTCGGCCGCGCTCAACAAAGCAGCAGCAGCAGGAAAACCTGCCTCGAAAAATCGCCGGGGGTGACCAATTCGACGCCGATTCTGGTAAGCACCAGCTCCACGCTTTTCGAATTACCCCCTCCGTGCGTGTTTTGAACAGGATGGAAACCTTCGACAACGCCGAGGTTACCCAGCAGCTCTTCGCGCGCATCGCAGCCCTCCAGGAGGAAATGCGAGCGGATCGCGAAGCGTGGCGAAACGAGTTCGAGCGAGTAACACGACTTGCCGGAGTGCAGCACGAAACGACAACGGCGACGACGCAGCAGTCGCAGCAGTTTCTTGAGGCTCCGAAACTGCTCCCACCTGAGCCGTTCGATCCGAGCGATCGAAACTCCGACGCCCACAGATGGATCGCCGGGATGGAGATCTACTTCGCAGCCGTCGGATGGAGCTCGCCAGTCTGGGACGGTCAACGTGTACGACTCGCAGCGACTCTGATGCGAGGGTCGGCACTCGAGTGGATTGGCGGCAACAGTACCTTCATCCAAGGTGAAGCCACGTGGCAGCAGTTCCGCGCCGACCTACTGAAACGCTTCGAGCCGATAAATTCCAGTTTCCTTGCCCGGGAAAAAATTCATCGACACCAACAGTTCGGGAGTGTAGCGCAGTACACGCAGCAGATGGAGGAATTTTATAACCGCATTCCCGACCTGACCGAAGGGGAATAAGTACAATCGTACCTCGCCGGGCTGAAGACCGAAGTGAAACGCCAGGTAGCAGCGTCAAACTACGCGAGCTACAGTGACGTCGTTTCGGCAGCGGAGCGTTTCGACATGGTCAACGTCGGAACACGACGGACGCACGTCGGCAGTACACGACAGGGCGACCGCTCGGCTCACCCCACGTTCGCCGACCCGATGGAAGTCGACAGATTCGAGGGGCGGCCACGTCCGGAAAACACCAATTACACGTGTGATTTTTGCGGGGTGCCGGGTCATCGAATCTTCGACTGCAACAAAATGAAAACCGCACGCGCAGAGTATCGGGCACGCAACAGTGACGGAATTTCTTCGGCCAATCAGAAGCCAAAAAACGGGAGTCGCCAGTGATTGCGGATCTAGCTCGCGAAAATAAAAAGATCCGGAAGCGGCCAAGGGATTCCGGGAAAATCAACTTCGACGAAGCTGATTCGACGCGAGGAGGAAATGATAGGGGAAAATCTCCACCCCACGACCAGTCTTCGCCAGGGAAAATCGCCGAGGAAAAATCTGACTCCGCGAAAAAAGACTCTGCCGAGACGGTGAAACTCCTTGAAGACCCAAGAAATAATAAGAATTCATTAAAGTTATCTTATAAAGATGCTTTAATGAAAACCTATGATTTTCGAGGAGCCAGAGCCTTGGAGAAAATTCGGGAAGGACTCCAAAAGAAGCAGACAGCTGTGGAGATTATACCGGTACCGAACAACTTGGGGAAAAAATTAAGGACTGTGGAAAGAAGCCGACCTTTCCACGGAGTCAACGTCCTCTCCCGACACCAGCCCACAATGACTACCCGTTCCTTAGGGAAGACGTCGGTGGAGCTGAAGCAGCTCAAGAGGAAGCTGGGGGTCTATAAGAAGCTGCGCAAACCCCAAACTCCTCCTCCGGATGCATCCAGTTCTTCGGCATCAGTGACGCGCACAGTCGTCAAGGAAACTCCGGGCCCTGGAGAAGAGCCGTTCTCCAAGCAGCCTCGGCCAGCTGCCACTCAGGAGTACATAGCAACACAAAGGTGTGTACGGAATATTGGGATGTACCCTATGACCCAATCAATGAAACTATCTTTGGGTACTCCGAGCAACGCCGGCCCCTCGTGCTCAAGGTCATCTGCAAAGGACGACGCCTCCAAGCACTTGTGGACAGCGGAGCATCGCACACCGTCTGCGACAAGGCAGTAATCGACCGACTTCGGGAAGAGTACAAGCCTTCAGATTCTCTGCAACGATGGTGGATGGCAGCAAGTTACCAGTACACGGCGAAGCAGTGTTACACCTACAAATCGGACCACTGCGCTGGAGACCTGCACTCCCCATCACCAACATCAAAGGGCTTGACTTCATCTTCGGGCGAGACTTCCTAAAAAGATTCAACCCCGAGATCAACTGGGTAAACCGCACCGCAAGCATCTACAACAATGGACGGAGAGTACAGCTACCCAACTGGGACGATACAGGAGATATCCCAGTGGAGACACTCGCACGATTCGAGAAGGACGTGAAGCGAACCGACACCGGATTCCTGGCAATAGCAACAGAGGTGGAGAACGACAGGGAGAGAACCTCGGAACCTCCAGGAAAGATCAAGGAATTATTGAAGGAGTTCCAAGATATTCTTCCAGACGATCTTCCGAATGAGCTACCGCCATACCGAACGCATCAACACGAGATCGTGGAGGAACCGGGTTCGAAGCCGACCTTCCGAGCACCATATCGGCTCAGCCCTACGGAGCTGACCGACATGAAAAAACAAATCGAGTATCTCCTAGCCAAAGGACTCATCCGACCATCCACTTCGCCGTACAGTGCCCCAGTACTCTTCACACCGAAACCGGACGGAAGCCTGCGCATGTGCATCGACTACCGAGCTCTTAACAAGCAGACCATCAAGAATAAATATCCGATACCACGAATCGATGACCTGCTTGACCAGCTTCGGGGAGCTACGGTATTTTCCAAACTGGATTTGCGGTCCGGATACTGGCAGATACGCATGGCGGACAACTCTATCCACAAAACTGCTTTCCGAACTCGGTATGGATCGTACGAGTATTTGGTAATGCCGTTCGGACTCACCAACGCACCGGCAACATTCCAAGCCAAGATGAACCACATTCTACGACCACTTTTGGACGAGTGCGTGGTGGTGTACCTGGACGACATCCTCATCTACCCGTGCGACATGAAGCAGCACGTCAAACACCTGCGACGCGTCTTCGAAATTATTCGACGAGAACGATTCTACGTTAAACTGTCCAAGAGCGATTTTGCCCTTGAGAAGGTCCAGTTCCTAGGACACATGGTGAGCGCTCAAGGAGTTCACGTCGACCCCTAGAAAATCGAAGCCGTACGCACGTGGAAGACACCCGAGAACGTGAAGGAGTTGCAGCAGTTCCTAGGCTTCGCTAATTACTACAACAGGTTCGTGCCACAGTATGCAAAACTCGCAGCACCACTCACGAATCTGCTAAAGAAGAACACACTCTACATATGGGAGTCGAAGCACCAGGAAGCCATGGAGCAGCTGAAACAAGCACTTACGTCCGCACCCGTACTCATTTTGCCAGACCCCGAACGCGACTACGTCATCGAAGCTGACGCCAGTGACCAAGCAGTGGGAGCAGTCTTGATGCAAGATCAAGGGAATGGACTGCAACCAATCGCTTACCTAAGTAAGAAACTACACGGGACAGAACTCAACTACCCGATACACGACAAGGAGGCCCTGGCTATCATCATCGCCTTCAAAGCATGGTGATGTTATCTCGAAGGACGAAAAACAACCGTCTACACCGACCACTGCAGCCTCAAATACTTGAAGACACAACCCAACCTTTCCAGACGGCAGGTCCGGTGGATCGACTTCCTCGAGACACACTTCCACTACGACATCGTGTACAAGCCCGGTCACAAAAACAAAGTAGACGCTCTCAGCCGGCCTGCACACGTTGCCGCTATTCAGGTCAAAGGGATGAATCCACTACTCAAGGGACTCTTCACACACGGGTACGCCACCGACCCCGAAATTCCCTTGGCAGAAAAACGACATCTACTACAGTGGGATAACGACATCGCGTACCGGAAAGGATCAATGAAGATCTGGGTACCAAATTACCCTCCTTTGCGCCAGTTACTACTCGAAGAATACCACGACGTCCTCTACGCCGGACACTTCGGTAGCAACAAGACGCTCACCGGTATCGCAAAGCACTACTACTGGCCCCACTTGGCAGAAGATGTCCAGAAGTTCGTCACCTCGTATGATACATGTCAGCGGATGAAGAGCAGCAAGCAGAAGAAGACAGGTCTACGGCAGCCTCTTCCTGTCCTAGAACAACCATGGCAAGTGGTTAGCCTGGACTTCATCACCGGGTTACCACCTACCTCCAGCGGTCATGACGCCATCCTTGTCGTCATTGACAAGTTCTCCAAAATGGGACACTTCATCCCGACACACACGACAGCACGCACCGAAGAAACAGCACAACTCTGCGTTCGATACATCATCTCACAGCATGGCATTCCAACCACACTCATCTCCGACCGAGACCCTAAGTTCACCAGCAAGTTCTGGAAGGAACTTATGTCTCTCCTCGGGACCAAACTCGCCATGTCATCTGCTTACCATCCGCAGACAGACGGACAGACCGAGCGCCTCAACCAAATTGTTGAGCAACTCCTCCGAGCAGCCTGCAAGGACGAGATCTCCAAATGGGACTTGCACCTGCCCGTACTAGAGTTTGCTTACAACAATGCTACACATGCCGCTATTGGACAGACGCCGTTCTTCCTCTGCTACGGACGCCACCCACTCACACCACAAAAACCGACAGCATCAGCTACAGTCCAACCAGCACATGACTTCATCACAACCATGCATCAGCTTTGGGATCGGACCCACAAGCGCCTACTCGACATTCAACAGCAACAGAAGCGTCAGGCCGATCGCCGTCGCACCGACCACACCATCACAGTGGGAGACCAGGTGCTTCTTGACACCCGCAACCTGGACATCAGCCACCTCCCATCTAAACTTCGACCTTGCTTCTGCGGGCCTTTTCTCGTTGAAGCACAGGTCATTCCTGTTACCTTCCACTAACGCCTGCCAGCTACCTGGAAGATTCACAACGCCTTCCATGTCCAACTTTTGAAGCCCTATCGGGACCCAAACACGATCTTCGTCGGACGCCAACCGCCGCCGCCACCGCCCGTCCTCGTCCAGAATGAACCCGAGTACGAGGTCGAGTCCGTGCTTGCACACCGTCGACGTCGGAATGGCACCGTGGAGCTTTTCATCCGTTGGAAGGGTTATGATCCTTCTGAGGACAGCTGGGTACCTGAGTCCGACATGGGTAACGCCCGTCGTCCTCTGCATGACTACCTTGTCAAGCAGGGTGTTACTTCTACCACCCAGCTTTGAGGGGGGGAAGTGTGAGAGTACGACCCCGTTACACCACTTGGCCTTTCCTTATTTCCTTCCTATTTCATTTCTCTTTTTATCTCATCTCATTTGGTTTCCTATTCTCCATTTTCCATTAACCTTTGGTTTATCCTGCTATTATATTTATATCACCGACCAGGCTTGGGATGTACTGGTGCGCTATATCTAGCGTAATCCTGCCGTAATCCCTTAAAGCCAATAGCCTTGCGTGGCTACACGCAGGGTGATTCTATCTTCTAGAAGGGTCTATTCCCTTAGGATAAGATAAACCTGGTTACCTGATGTACTCTGGAAGTATAAAAGCGCCTTGTACTGATCGATAGTGCAATCTTTCTTCGACACATTCGATCCTGTAACAGTTGGGAAGGGACAAATGTCAAAGTTGGGGTTCCTATAGGGAGGGAATCTTTGTGCTTATGGGGTTTTCTTGGTTGGGGACTCTCTTGAGACCTTCCCTCTCATCCATCTCTTCCATCCCAACCTTTCTCTTGCTCCTCTAATTCCTTGTGAGATTCTTGAACTTCAATTGAACTTTTTGAGATTGAGTTAAGTTCTCCTCCTACAGCTTACCCCCCAGTGCGTCGAAAGACATAGCGTGGCGAATACTCCATCAATCGACGTGATTCAAATTGAGAACGGTAGCTAAGATTATAAGCTACAACATAGCCAAGTTTCGCGACATTCCAACGGCTAAGTTTTTGATGACGTCGTTTCTTGTGAAGACGATTTTTCTGTCCAGAATTTCGGATTTATATTTTGAGTAATTCTAGCTCCTAAACACACCTAGGCTCCGTCCTTAATCCTAACACGAGTCGCATTCCAGGTGAATCCCCTTCGCCATTTACTGGCTAACGCTCAGTAGATTGTATCCCAAGTTGTCGACGATGAGGACTTTGTTGAGTTGTAGTATTGCGTTTGTCTCCATTGACTGAAGCTGAACGATGCCTTGTTTGTTTGTTTTCAGGTTCTCGTTGTTGGAGACGGTGATGATGACATCGTGGTTGAGACGTCGCTCTCGTTGCACGAAGCGTCCGGAAGAACACATATGTTGAGCGCAGCAGCTGTCCAAGAACCAGGTGTTTCGCCCGGTGGGTTCGGCGTTGGCGACTGCAGCGTACGTCGGATTGACCTGGAGACCTTGTGAGCATGGCGGTGGTAGTTCTTCTTCGTCTGGAGCGTAAGTGGGTGGTGACTCGGGTCTCCAGCTGTCGATCCGTACCATGTAGTTGATGATGTTTGGTGTGTCTCGTGCAGGTGTAGAGGAGCGGCTTGGCGGATTTTCTGGAGTGGAGGCGACTTGCGGATTTGCTGGACGATAAACTCGAGGGCGCGTGCAGTTAACCTTGGAGTGTCTGGATGTCTGACAATTGTGGCAGAACGGTGGCACGATGGTGAGTCGTCTGGCGTCGTATCGATTCTGCTTATCACGTCGGTTGTAGTTGTGGTCGTTTCTTCGTTGAGTTTAGAAGACTAATGGTTGTTGCTTGTTTCTTGGTTGTCTTTCTTCAAACAGGTCCATCTCCTGTTGTTCAACATGGAGCTCGGCGCAGAGGTGCATTTCGGAGATTCGTCCGTGGGCGGGAAGGAGTGAGCGCGTGGTTCTCCATTCTGGCCCGAGCCCGGCGAGGACGAGTGTCACGAAGCTTTCTTCAGTGATTGTTCCTCCGCACCGAAGCAGGCGGTCGCGGAGTGTCTGGCAGCGACTCATATACTGCATCGCCTTTTCTCCGGTCTTCATTTGTATTGTTGTCAACTGCTGCATGAATCTGCTTTGTGTTACGCTGTCGTTTGCTTGATAGAGACACTTCAGATGATGCCAGGCGAGCTCCGCGGAGTTTCTGTAGCTCCGATACGTTCTGATGCTTTGTTGCTCTTGTGGTGACAGGTTTCGCAGGAGAACTGTGTACGCCAGCAGCGACTGATAAGTGAAGATTTCCTGCTCCTTTTCAGTGCCATTACTTGGAAATGGCAGGGACCCGTTGAAGTATCCCAAGAGGTGCGCGGCCTCCATCAGCAGCTCGAACTCAAAGCTCCATGTAAAGAAGTCGTGCCCGTTGAATGGTGAAGATGTCTGCAGTTTGATCACATGTGAAAACTGCGCCTGGAGAGTTAATGTCTCGTTTGGTGTCTGTTGTGATGTAGCTGCTGTTGGTTAGGCACGGGGCGGCATGAAGGTGGTCCAACTGGACATTTCCAATGCCTTCCTTTATGCCCCAATCGACAGTTTGGTCTCTGACCAGCTCTCATACCATGTTGGGCTGAGAAAATAGCCCTTAGGATCTTTCTAGAGACTAAGTCCCACTTGTACAAGATGCTTGAGTAGTGCAGCGGAAGAGTTGAGTAGTTGAACCCTTGCACTAGTATGTGAGAGCAGGTGATTGATTAAAAAAAACAAGCATACAGGAATATATAGAGAGTAGGAAATAGAGCAGTTGTAGAATACAGTTGAAGGAACGGTTATCGAGTCGCACAGCGACTCGATCGTCGGTTCGGTTACCATCCTTGCAGTCGTAACGGTCAGTCGCAACTGTCAAACATATCTGTATATCATGTTTGTATAGACTGTATAGGGTCTCCTCTTAGAGAGTACAAGACTTAGGTATATTTGTGTGTACTCTTACCCTATGATTAACACTTCTCAATTCTGATATGGTATCACGCTAGGTAGGATCCCCCCCCACCTACCGCTTCCGCTCACCCTCGTAGCGCCCCGCCTGGGCCCCGTCGCGCCCCTCCCAGGCCCCGTCGCGCCCCTTTCAGGCCCCGTCGCGCCCATCCCAGGCCCCGTCGCGCCCCTTCCTGGGCCCCGTAGCGCCCCTCCAGGCCCCGTAGCGCCCCTCCCAGGCCCCGTCGCGCCCCTCCCAGGCCCTGTCGCGCCCCTTTTGGGCCCCGTAGCGCCCCTCCCGGCCCCGTAG